GGTGGGTGGAGAGAGAGAGAGAGAGAGAGAGAGAGAGAGAGAGAGAGAGAGAGAGAGAGAGAGAGCGAGAGAGAGAGAGAATGAGAGACAGCTTAGTTAGCGAGATTAATTGAGGATTTCAAGAGAAATCACGTAGCCTTTTGAAAGATCTTATGTAATTTCTCGTAGACAGAATCAAAACTCTGAGCCCTTCAGGATAAGAAGTCATAAATCCTTAGTCAAGGATATCTCGGACCTCTGTTTCAAAAATTTTGTAGCTTAAAATTCATGTCTGCATTACTTAGAACTTAATAATATAGTAATAATAGTATAGTATATATATTAATAGTATATACTATACTATTATTATACTATATTATTATTACTATATTATTACGCTGCTTATTATTTCATTATTACTATATTATTAAGTTCTAAGTAATGCAGACATGAATTTTAAGCTTTATACTNACTTAGAACTTAATAATATAGTAATAATGAAATAATAAGCAGCGTAATAATATAGTAATAATAATATAGTATAATAATAGTATAGTATATACTATTAATATATATACTATACTATTATTACTATATTATTAAGTTCTAAGTAATGCAGACATGAATTTTAAGCTTTATACTAAAGTAATTCGATCCTTTTTTTATGTGCTTCGCAGTATATGTATAACTTCACGAATTTCTCGAGTACAACGATAACCTTTGGTAGAGATATTTATCAAAGCATATACTTTCAGAGAATCGAATGAAAAGAAACATCGAATTTTGGAGATTCTACACTAGAATTATCCCCTCGAAGGGCAAATACGTATGTTGTGTAGGAAAGGTAAGAAAAGAATGCGCGGAATGAGACGTATTATGCGCCTTCGCGCGGGAACTCTATTGAGACCGAGACAACATGATTTCCCGTGAGAATTTTACACCGAGTTCCGGACTCTTTCATAGCGGGCTTTGTTCGAAAGATATTCTATTTTACACGAACGCGATCATAAGAAGATAAATCGCATCGGCGATCAACTGAAATGCGAAATGCCCGAACGAGCCTGAGGAATGTTAACTTGAACAGAAAATTTTCGCGATTCGTGATGGCTCGGTGTGGGCGGATTCACCGTATATTAAAACGCAATATGTATGTCGCAACGAAAGCATGAACGGAATGCAAGACTTTCGACCTCCGGCGGGGGATTCGTTTAAAGAAACGCGTAAGTTGAAGAATCGTTGCGGAACGCTCAATAGATTAGGATTTTCATTTTACACGCAGTTTAGGTTAGACAATTTTACGATTACTACAAACATGATCTTTTAATAACTCGAAAGCGGCATTCGATAGGGAAAAAATTGTTGATTCTTTGTTAAATAACATATTTATTATATCTATCTAATATAGATTATTATTATATATTAATAATTGATATAATATATTATATATAATATAGTATAATATTATATATATAATATATTATAATATTATACATATAATATATATATATATATATATATATATATATATTTATAGAATATAATAAATTAATAATTATTAGAATTTAATGTTTTAAAGGAAGAAATATATTCTAGTATAAAGTTCGATGTACGTATATCGTGTTTGGTCTCATCTTAATCAGAAAACCGTCAGCAATATGTTAAAAAAGAAATCACTATTAAAATGTTAAAATTAACAAAAGTTATATCATTGCATTGTCTTCCGGGAATTCGAGTCAAAGGAGCCGTTAGCGTAGCGAGAAAAAAAGATAAATTAAAGGGCCGCGGAAAATCAATAAATTACAGGGCCGTAGCGAAATATCTCGGCGTAAGAAAAAACTCATCGAACAGAATGGAAAATATTTGATCGATTAAATTTCATTTCTTCTATAGAAAACATTGAGTTTGATTTCACATCGAAATACCGAAATTACTTTCTTGCCAAACCAATATGTTCTTGCAATATCTGCAATCCAAACAACCAGCGAACGTTTATTTGCCGCGTCTCGTAATGTATAGTTATATGTATAAAAGCGCGTTTGTTATAGGAGAATATTGAGCAATTGTGTTTTCTACGTAGCAGCGTAAATCAATTTTAATAAAAATCAAATTGTTCTATGGTTCTCGCATGTATCACAAAACTTTTTATAATCACTAAGTTATATTTTATTGCTTCCTATTACTTGTAAATAATAATAATAATAATAATAATAATTGTTTTCTAACGTTTCAAATTATTCCCACAATGTTCAAATACGATAAATAATAAATTTGAACGTATCGAATCCATCGTATATTATGAAAATTTCACTATTTTATCAATAATTATTAAATTCTTTATAATAATTCTTATTCGTTTATAATTATTTTATCTAAGAAAGAAAGGCTGTAAATAAGTTAGCAGATACAGTTTAGGCTCCTCGAGCGAGAACAATAATTTCGGTTAGGTTAAAAAGTATATTTCCGCTTTCAACGATCGGTAGATATCAAATTAACATTTGATTCGGATCGAAAATCTAATTTTTCGCGATTCGTTTCTGAAAATTGTCAACGAGCGGGGCTCTCCCGCGCTATACATAATCGGTTTTATGCGAAAGGGTAGAATTATTAGGCCGGGCATTTGCGCGGGAGAAATGTAACGCGATTAATGTCCCCGCGCGCGATGTTTCACGCCGCGATACCTCATCGGACAGGTTTAATTCGACGCATCGCGTCCGTCGGCGGGTCTAAAAATTAAATTGCACGGCTACCTCGTCGATTAGCATACGATCGTTCATCGGTGACTTTAATCAGGCGAAATGCAATAATTGTCATGTCACTGAAGCCCTCCGATGAACGCGTTCGCGCGGTAACAGCGCCGATATTAATTTCTACTTTCCGTCTGACCGCGAAGGACCTGCGGCGGTGAGGCAGCTGGTAAGAGGGGGAGTGTAAACACAAAGTGACAACATACTGCAAGGTCATTGAAATCGGAAAGTCCCTGAAGTAAATAATTATCCCTAAAAGCGAAGCGTCTTTTTTTAAATGTATATCAAGCATTGTGATGAACATTGACAGACCCTAAATCGAAGAGAGTTATATTACTGCGGTGCACAGTGTTTCAAAATGTTGCACGCAGCTAGACAAGAGCTGGAAAGTTGTGAAAAGAAACAGAACTTGCGATTTTAAATAAATATTGATAATAAATATCAACGAGCTAAATACGAATCTGCTCATATTTTCTTTAATTTCGCATGTGCACTTTTCAAGAAAAATTGGTTTCACAAGAAAATTTTTAAACACGTTTAACGCTGCAGCAGTAATTATGATACAGTACTAATTCGTATAGTAGAATTCTGTGGAGTTTTTCGAATAACATGAACAACATCGGTAACATCAATTGAATACAGGATTGAGAACCATGATTGAAAAATGGTTGAATTAAACGCGAGTGTAAGGAAAACGACCGAGGCTTGTACCTTCGTAATCGTTTATTTGTCGCTGCCGCTCGGGAGAAAACGTTCCGCCGACTAAAACGTGTGACAGAGCGCCTTGCTCCGGCTCGCAAAACAAATAATTCGATTCGGCCAACTAAAAACCCAGGCCTCGTCGCGAGCCCTGGTCGCTCGCTCTTCGGCCGTCCGAGGAAATGACACGCGATACCATTTTCCTTGAACGGCGGTTAATTACATTGTAAAAGCGCAGGCTACCGTCGGCGACAAAGGGTCGCGGAGCCTGCAAGTTTGCGTCGCTGCGTCTCTTGTTTATTTAATGCGATACCGTGGCCCGTCGTCGCAGCGGCCGCCACGGTAAATAAAAGAACCCCGGAAATCTGCCAATCTTTTCGGATACTGTTCAATTTATTTTAGAAACGGAACATGCGAGTGACAAAGCAATTACTCCGCTTGAAAGAGAGATCCTTTGACTTTTGCGAACGCCTGATTGACATATAATTTAGCGTTGGTGAACGTTAAAAAACATCTTCTGCTTTTGACCCTTTGCCCTACGATTTATGTTCCAAGAACGTGTGCTACAAACAACAACAACAAGGTCGGTCACGCGTCCAGCCTCCCTTTCATGGTTGCGCGGAAACCATGTCTGAAGTTGTGTCAATCGTGAACTTTTTACAGAATGTAAATACATACGGTGACACCCGTTAATGATCGGGCAATTTTCAAGGCGCGATAACGTTTTTTGGAACTGGACTAAACGGCTTGAATTTTTTTCTAGATGATAGAGTGGCCCCAGTCTACTAGATCATAACTAGAATGTATCGACTAATGTATGTATCGACCACGTCTCTCAGACGTGGTAATCATTTCTGGCTCTATTCTTCGATCACGTCTCTCACGGCCCGATGATCCGGCCACGTCTCGCAGACGTGGTCGCAGCGCGAAGGGTTAATTAGATTTTTCGGCTGGAAACGTTCTGCCACGCGCACCGGCCGGGCTGTAATAACTTTTATCGCGTGTTCATTGTTTTCGACAATTTGAAACGGGTATTACGTTTACTTTTCGCATCTAAACAAACCTTTCGGCGGATATTAATCGCGCATATTGACGTAACCCGCGTATCGGTGTTTGCTTAAGGATTATTTCATATTTGCCTCGGACAAATTCAATCGATATCGGAGAACGTTTGAAAACGTAATATCCGCCCGGCAGAAAAATACCCACGGGCGAGAATTATTTTTACGGGATGAAATTGCCGCGCGCGACCGTCTCGTTACGTCTGATTTCGTGCACGTGGCTCCACGAACGGTTTCGACGGTACGTAATTCTTTGTAGTCCAAACACAGCGTCGCTTGTAACGTTTATAGTAAGCAAACATACTATGTCTTCGCGTGACATGACATCAGCATGGAATGACGATTCTACCTGTAAAAATAAATCGGTAAGAAAGGATAACATTTTTTTTCATTTAAAGCTGTTGTTGTCGAGAAAAGGTACATATGAGCCGTTTATTTTGAAAATGGCATTAAAAATATGGATGCTAACTTTCGAGAAGATTTACTTGTATTTGTTATCTCAGGATACTGATATTTTTCTCAGTATAAATAATTTCGTATAAACATTAAAAAATCACCACTTTTCATTACGGTAAAGTGACTTATGCCACTTTCAAAATAATTATATAATATAATTATAATATAATAATTAAATAATAATATAATAATAATATAATAATTAAATATATAATATATTATATATAATAATATAGAGAAAATAATACCATCGAATAGGAATCAAGTGGCGCGTCTGGCCATCGCATAACTATTCTACTTCTCGTCACGCTACAAGCCGTACAAACCTGACAGATCTTTGCACTGATTTTTCTCGAAAACGCAGTCTTAAATGAAAAAATGTTACTCTTCCTTTTCGTCTTATTTCTCCATTTAGAATCGTCCTCTGGTAGGTTGGACTTGAAAATTTGAGATCGAGATCCTAAAACATGGCAAAACAATCTGATGAAGCTGCAAGGAGATCAAATAAAATTTCAATCTTCGTTATAATATAAAATTATATAAAATCGCACATTCATTGCCAGTCATTGGGACCAATATTTCCACTGCGAAAATTCAAAATGGCCACCGGTAGCTACGCGACACTCAAAACGTTTAACGCTGCAGCAGTAATTATAATACAGTACTAATTCGCATAGTAGAATTCTGTGGAGTTTTTCGAATAACATGAACAACATCGGTAACATCAATTGAATACAGGATTGAGAACCATGATTGAAAAATGGTTGAATTAAACGCGAGTGTAAGGAAAACGACCGAGGCTTGTACCTTCGTAATCGTTTATTTGTCGCTGCCGCTCGGGAGAAAACGTTCCGCCGACTAAAACGTGTGACAGAGCGCCTTTTGCTCCGGCTCGCAAAATAAATAATTCGATTCGGCCAACTAAAAACCCAGGCCTCGTCGCGAGCCCTGGTCGCTCGCCCTTCGGCCGTCCGAGGAAATGACACGCGATACCATTTTCCTTGATTGGTCGCTAATTGCATTGTACAAGCACAGCGTACGGTCGGCGACAAAGGGTTGGTCCATCGGTTCACGTCCCTGCCTCTCCTGTTTATTTAATATGCCTATTATCAGCCACTATATTATTTAATGTGTGCAATAAACATTGAATTTTTATATAATTGCAACTGTTAAACATTTTGCAAATTTTAAAAGATTCCAACGCCACTTCTCGCTTGTAAACAACGGAAAGAACTCGATCATAGCGGACCGCCAACCCCTTTCTTTTATCCTGGGGCCGCACATGCATTCCGTCGTCACAAGAGCACTTCCCAAGGAAAATTCAATTACATGCAGAAATAATTATGTTAGGATATAAGGATCGTGCGTTAACAAATATACGGTGTGCACATGCGTATGCGTGAGCGAGGGACGCGAGGCACTAATGCGCGCGCGGGCGCGCGTGTGTTTCTGAACGAGCGAGAGAGAGAGGGAGAGAGGGGGAGAGAGAGAGAGAGAGAGAGAGGAGGGTTGGGTTTGAAAAGCGATGAGCGGTTACAGTCGTTGGGCGCAAGCGAGGGAGAGTAAATTTTCCCTAATTGACGCTCAGTTTGAAAACAAAAATAGACAATTTTCAACGGGACGAACCCTTTGTGTTACAAAGAAAAAAAAATATAAGTATTAACCCCTTGCTCTACGAATTAAGTTTAGTTCTGTTTATATTTGGCCCGACCGACGCACTACTACTATTTTTTTTACCACATCTCTCAGACGTGATAATCATTCCTGGCCCGATTATCCGACCACGTCTCTCAGACGTGGTTGTAGGGCAAACGGTAAATATAATATATATATGATATGTATAATAATATATATATATTAATATAGTAAATTATATATATAATAATATATATATTAATATAGTAAATATAATATATAAATGAAGGGATACATACTACTGTAGTTACTACCATACTTCGCCCTTTACGTCTTAGATGAAGTGGCCTTGAAGTTCTTCATAGCCGCAGCGTAGCCCCAGAATGGTTTGCGACAGGTCATTGCAGCAGTTCAAAAGATCGAATAATCCTATCTTCTCTTCCCAAACTGTCCAGACCACGTGGTGTCTTTCGGCTATCGGACGTCTCAGGTTGCTGATTGAGAGCCGTTTCTAATATAAAATATTATAAATAATAATATAATAATATCGGAATATTATTATATTATAATATAATATAAAAGCCGTTAATATATGAGCCGTTTGTTTTGAAAGTGGCATAAGTCACTTTTTCAAAAAAATCGAGTTAATGGTAACACTAATTACAATTGAAGGGTATCTTTTCATTTAAAAAAAAGAAAAAAAAAGTGACTTATGCCACTTGCAAAATAAACGGCTCATATGTACGTTTTTGAATAAAGCAAGCGACCCGACGCCATCTTGCCAAAGAATTGGGACTTCGTTACCTTTTGGTAAGAAGACTGTGTTGTGTAAAGATCACGCACAACTGTCTATAAATTCTTATAGACATTAATATTAAATTTAATTAAATTTAATTAAATTATATTAAATTAAATTAATTAAGTTAAATTATATACATTAACACCGTTACACATCAAGGTGTTACGTCAATTATGAACAGAATGATCAATCAGAGAAAGGACTCGAGGCGCGACCGACCTTGTTATTGTTTTTGGCACACGTTCTCGAAACTCAAATCGTCAGTCAAGGGACTAATTTCTCTAACAAATCTGCGGTTTGTTCTCTCCTTTCCGCTATCGAGATATTCTGTTCAAATTGAAAAATCATTTTACCTTTCCTCCGCATTTTGCCGGCGAATATCGTTGTAATATCGGAAAACAAAAAGACGAGCCTCCGTCCACAAACCAATCTACCTAAGTGGCAAGCGGATTCGGTCGGCCGGTCCACCGAAGTAACGGTGCGCGGGGCAAGGGGAAGCGGTGGCCCGCGCTCCACCTAATCGCGTCTTCTATCCATCGCGTAACTTAGCCAATGATAACACAGAATCTGGAAAGTGGGAGGGATACAGGTGGAGCGAATGCCTGACTCCCGGTGCCCCTCGCGTCGGTTAGTTTGTAGGACGGAGCTTGTGTTTTGGTTTTCTATGTACTATGACTACATAAATCTGCTTACGTTTGCCTTTATATCCCGTAAGAACGCTTGAAATTTTCGCGCAAGACGTTTTAGATCCTCGCGATAGGAGGCTCTTCGCCAGGCTTCTCTAGGCTTGGATTACGAATTAGAGCGAGCAAGCGAGATCGGGAAGCAGTAACAGCCAGGACAACACACCATTCGCTACTCGTTCTCGCTGCTGTCGATCTCGCTCCCCCCCCCCCCCCCCCCCCCCCCCCCCCCCCCCCCCTCCCCCTCCCCCC